ATAAGTGGGTGGCTTGCAAAAAAAATCTAGTAAATCAATAATACAGATTGTGACTTACAACAGCTCATTTAGTGACTGTTCAAAGTAACAATGGCACAAAAAATGGTCATAAGTGTGGAAAATGACCATTTTTCACACTTATGACCATTGTAGCATCCCCATGGTCATGTGATCAAAATCCAGACGCTTGGCAACTGGTTCATATTTATGACAACTGGAGTGTCCCAGAGTCACGTGATCACCTTTTGTGACCTGACAAGTAAGTCAATGGGAAAACCAGATTCACAATAATGTTACTAACTTAACTGTAGTGATTCACATAATAACAGTGGTGAGAAAGGTCATAACATGGGCAGAACTCACTTAACTGATGTTTCACTTAGCAACAGAAATTTGGGGTACAATTGTGGTTATGGTTGTAACCTGCAGGCAAAATCAAACCAAGAATCTGCTGTATAGTTTCATCTCTTAAGAAGTCCCCTGCATTAATTGTCTTGTTATATAACTGTTTAAAAAAATAACCAGGAAAGCTATTAAATCAGGCTATTAGCTATTTGTTGAGAAAATTAATATTAGCATGTAGCTTGAAGGTTTTATCAAATGTACCATTTATTTGAGGGGTATTTTTATTCAATATTTTTTAAAAAATAAAAAGCTATCGTTCTTCAAACTAATATAAAGTAAAAAAAAGAAAGGAAATAAAGGAGAAAGTTAAAAGGGCAAGGGAAAACAGTAAAAGATAAAGAAACAAGTAGCTTCGGATCTCCTTCATCAATTATAAACAGAAATTTACCTCTTGTTCGAGTTGCAACATGACTCTCTTTTTGTAATCTATTTTGTATAATCATCAAAATAATAAATCTTAAGTTCATTTTTCTATTTCACGCAAAAAAACTATTTTCAGTCAGCAATAAACACAGATATTGTCTTCTTTCTCATCAAAGGAATCAATTTAGCCATCTCAGAAGTTCCATCATTGTTCCCAACATTACTCCTCCACTGTTGGTTAGTATCAACCATGACACTTCGTTGCAGGTTAAATGGGCTTTTCCAACATTACCTTATAACTGGTGCAGGGGCTTGAAACCTGCTGAGTTTTTCCTCCCTGCGGCCTATTATTACTCAAAAATAAAAGACATTAGAGCTTATCCCTCCTTGCTCTCTTGTTACGTGCAACCCATAATAGCTCAGTAATTTAATGGGCTGTCAGAGCCCAAATCCTATCACAGCAGGCTGTTGCTCTTCACTGTCATTGTCCTGCTGCTGTTTTGTGTGCGCTCACTATGCTGACATGTGATGACCATACAGGCTTACAGAGGGAACATTGCAATGATGCTGTAATTTGTCTATGCTGGTTAGCACCAGGGAAGTACACAGAAACAACTGCATTGAGATGTAAAAGAGTAAACAGATTGGAGATTGTAGTCATGGCGATAAAATATTTTTGATGCAATGTACTTTGTTTTTACCAACCATTTTTATTGTTACATTATAACTGGATTAATAATAATTTTAAACATTCAATACTTGTTGCACTTTTGCATGTGTATGAATATTTTATATTTTTATATCCTTTAGGATATTTTATGTAATATGGCTGCATTTCTTTGAGACCCCTATTCTGTTGCTTTCTAATTAGAAAAGAAAGAAAAAGAAACAATTTATTGGGTTTACAGAAATCCTGTTATATGGATTGGGATTGTGTTTATACAGATAGTTATCAATTTATAACCATTTATTTAGTGCCTGTTTAGTTACAGTTGCACTGAAAAAAGTGACTTACAATCATTTTTCACACAGCATTCCCATGGACGCATGATCAAAATTTGGGTGCTTGGCAACTAGTTCATAATTATAATAGTTGCACTGTCCCAGGGTCATGTGACCTTCTGACAAGCAAAGTCAGATTCATTAACAACTGTGTTATAGCAATGATTTGCCTAACAACTGTGTTAAGAATGTTGTAAAGTGAGGCAAGACTCACCTAAGTCTTGCTTAGCAACAGAAATTTGGAGCTTTCGTAAGTCAAGGACTATCTAGTATTTTTTAGCATTTTTAATAGTATTTTTCCTACATTTTAAACCGTCAAGCCATATTTTTTGTAACCAAGACACAGATCACAACAGTTGTATAAGCTATTGGGAACATTATTTATTTTATCCCACCTTTCTTACTAGTTTGATTAAAACAAGATGTTTATATAAAGTTGTTATATAAAGCATGTAAGAAAGTTAAAAAATATTTTGATAATAAAGAGATGAAGTCATCTGCGTTTTGTTTAAATGATCTCTAGAGGCAATATATAAATGTTTTAATACAAAAGCCAAATGAAACATTAAGAGGAAGATAGTTCATAGATATATTTGCTTATAGTCCTGAGCTACAGTTAACTTATTTTTCCCCAATATTAATAGAGCAACAGTCTGGGTCACGTAGCTGTATCTTGATGAAGTGTACTTCCCCCACCTCCACTTCTGCACTCAATCTCAGCCTGAGAATTTGAAGATTGTTCCCCTTTCCATCAATTTTTTTTTAGTCCAAATAAAATGTTACTGGTCTTTTAAGGATTATTTATGGCCAAGTAATTTTTTGAATCTACCAATCTTGCATAACTTTCTCCAGTTCAGAAAGGCTATTAAAACTGAAGTCAGGTCTTCCTCTGCAACAAAGGGTGTGAGCTTGAATAAACTAATACATGTGTAGGAGAGTGTGTGTCAGTGCAACTGAGATCTACATTCTCTGTGCCTGGAATGTCATGAATAGCTGGTATGAGGAAAACTGCCTTATAATAATCAGGCACATTGATTCTGAGATGGAAAGCTAGAATTGGCAGTGAGATATGGCTTATATTCAGTGAAAAATGCAGACATCCTGCTGTTTCTCCTGCTGAACAAGATAAATGGTGCATCTGAGAGAAAAGGGAGGAAATTCATTATTTTGTCCTGACTCCAAAACCCTATTTGTATCAGACTTCTGTCCATTAGAACGTTTTACTTAATTGTGGGTGTCTAGTGATGGAAGAAACAAAAAAGAGCATTAATAAAGGAGAATTGAAACGAGGGGCCCTAACATTTGATGATGTTACCCAGCTTGGGTAATGAAATGTCTGTAAGGAAACAAGCAAGCTTAGAGAAGGACTAAGGACCCCTTAAAAAAAGAGCTTGTCTAAAAATTAGGGGGAAATGAAAGTCTTTTTATCATGACTCATGAAACTGCTTGGCATCCAACCATAATATGGATGCGGAAAAAGCTTGGGTTTCAAGCATGTATTGTTATTTGGTTCTTATATGCGAAACTGGCTACACATGTGGTCAAATATTTTTTTTCTTTTTGTGCGTAAGTTTTCCTTATTGGAGCCCAGTGAAGGACATGTGACTCTCGTTATTTTCCCCGTCTAATCCTCCGAGGAAGACCTGCTGAGAAATAAATGCCCGATCTAAAGCTTTCCAGTAAATCCATGGGTAATCAGCCTTCCCAGCCCTCTTGCCCTAACCGTATGGCGAGACTGAGGCATGAGTGGGGAAGTCCTGCCGTTGGAGCCCGTTCTGTCTCAAAGCCTGTCTCGATGCTGCCCCGCTCCTATGCCCCTGCCTGTCAAAGCACGCAAGCCCTTGAGCGGACACTCAACCCAACAATGGAACTGTTTCGGTCTAGGGCAGCTAAACTGAAATCCTAAAGAACTTGTAGTTGTCAGTGCTTAGCAGCCGACAGCTCTGACCGAAAGTCTTGCTTTCGGGAGAAAAAAAACCGCTGGCGGGAGAAAAGAGCAGGAAGGGCCTCGTCTTACCTCCCGTCCCCTTTTCTTTCTCTCCAACGCAGCTTCACGAAGGCCGTCAGCGGACGCTACTGCCCCTTTAAGAGGAAGCTGCTCCCGCCGATTCCTCTTCCTTTTGGCGGGTCGACCCTATTCAACACTTTCGAGCACGGACGAAGATGACCACCTTCTCACGCGCCACCATAGTCGTCATCGCCCGCGTGAGGTCGCTTTGAAGTGACGTAGCCGCAGGCGCGTTCCGCGCTTACGATTCTCCTTGGAAACGCTGCCCCCTTTCCCAGATACGTGGACGCTGACGCCCCACTCCGGAACAGGTTGTTGGGAGCTCGTATTTTCCGAGAAGCGAAGCTCTTCCCCTCCTCACCCCCCTCCCCCCCGCCTCAGTGGAGCGCTGTATCTTCCGAGAGCCATTTTGACTAAGGGTTACCGCGCGCGTTTGAGGCAGTTTAAAAAAAAAAAATAGTTTGAGGTAACCACTAGAAGTCGTTCATTTTACCCGTCCATCCTCCTCTGTGTTATTTTTCTCGAACAAGCAGCCTTTTCCTTAGACTGGGAAACCGATGAGTTACTTTTTATTCAATGACTTCTCCTGGTTACTTGGGAGAGTCAACATATTCTCATTTTTAAGCCAAGAGCAAGAATTCTTATAAGCAGTACTTCATACAATAGAGTCAAATGGTTGACCTTCAGGTAAGTCTAAAAAAGGCATCAACCTGTTCTGCTGCACTAGAAGGCTACTTTATAATTCAAATAAATGAAGGAAAGCAGCAGCAAAGGATTGCTTTCATACATCGGTGAGATGCAGTCTTATATCTTCCCCTCTTAGTACTACTAGACATTTTGGGCTCAGTAAGCACTACAGCTTACTAAACATGGTAGAATCCTAAGGGAAAAGGACTAGAAGGAACTTGCTTAAATTTCATGACTGTTAAATGGTATTTATACTGTACCAGTTTGAACGACAGCAAAGACAAATTAAGAAATTACACTCGCATTATTTCTTAGCTTGTCTACAGAAAAGTCCCAAGATACTCTGAAGTTGCAAGAATTCATGGTAAATTTCATCTCTTTCAAAATATCCCCTCTGTCCCCTTTAGCACAGCCAGCCTCACTGCCATTTCCTTGTCCTGGTAGCAGGATACAAAAGTTCTGCGTTAAGTAAGACACCGACCACTATGGCAAAGAGAAATGAATTTAAATAAATTCTTTTTTTTTTTTGCGTTTATTTTCAGGGGAATCCAGAAAAAAAAAGTGAAGAAATTAGAACCCAGAGCACTGAATCAGAGAGATGGTGGGGACTGGGTGAGGCATATGAGCCCCACCCAGAACAATTTAGGCTAAAACAGCAAGGGAAGGGAGGTAGGCAGGTGGCATAGCTTCCCTTTCAAGATGCCTGGACTCTTCAATCTTCAAGAGGGTTGGGAGGGTTGCCTTGCCTCTCCCCACGGATCCTAGCAGTGATTCCCCTGGATATTCGTGGAATTAACCCTTTCCATCCAAGGTTTCAGAATAGACCATCACTCTGCTAGGAGCTAGAAGAAAAAATAAAAATGGAAAGTGTGGTGAAGTGTACCTTTAAAGAGAAATGCTACATGGATGTTGTTACAAAGGCTGTTTAAAGGATGCCCTCTACATATCTGCTGCAATCTATACAATTATCCCATAAAATAGAATCTTGGATGCAAAATTACTTGTATAAATTTATCTACCATTGGGCAGAAACTTTTTGGACTCCCAGGATCCCCAGCCAGCATGGCCATAGTCATTCAAGCATATGAAAGGGCATTCAATGAGGAAAGGCTGTTTTTGATAAAAACGATATTCCCACAAACCATGGCACAGCACATCTTTTTCCTCTGATTCCTCCACCCTCCTCCAATTTACTTTCCACTTGCAAACTTTTACTTCATGTAATTGTGCCCTCCTGCCAATCTCAAGCCACCAGGGGACTAATAGTTGTTTCACTAAATACAATTCTTAACTTCAACCAACTTTAAGAGTATGAAAACACAGCAGAGGTCCCATATAATCCACATTCAAGCTAAAAATAGCTGCCTATGCAATTTGAGTACACATTACTAGCTTAGCTGTACCACCATCTCATAGTGTAAATTCATCTAAGAATTCTAAAATGTTTTTAGATTTAATTTGGTATTTAATTTCATTGTACAAGATGTAATGACAATAAACTAAAAGAAAGTTCTTCCATTGCTTACCTTGACTATGTAGCTCCCATATATGGCTCCATTCTGTATCAGAAGAGAAGAAAAAAAATTAGAAGCCAAGCATTACTGTATTTATTTCTAAAGAATACTTACTATAAGTTCTCTGATTGTCTTTACTGTCCAATAGGAAGTTTCAGGAAGACTGTTAAAATTAAATGGTAAAACTTATAGTAATATTCAAATAATTGGAAGTAAAATGTGAAGAGTCCTTAATGAAACACAAAAGCTTCTTGTTGACTTCACTGAAATTTAATGAAGACACTTTTTCCTTAGCCTTTTAAAGAGTTACAGAGAATGACAGACCACTTTTGAAACTGTTAATTCAAAACTGATTCCAAGAGTCAATGTACCCTTACCAGAGAAATATGAAAGATGAAGTTAGGGGAATACTCTTATTACCCTTCTGTTTTTTTTATGGGCAAACAATTTTATTCATGCCCCCTTTCGCTAATTGCAATAGCTGGGTTCTATGCACCTGAAAAATGACTTAAAATTGAAAGTTGCTCAATATATTCTGCTACCAATAGATTAACAGTCTCAAAACATTCAGACATCCCGTTCCCTGTGCAGTCTGGACTTTTTAAGGTTATCTTACCTTTGAAGTGATAATTTCTTGCAGCCTGCCAGTCATTGGCTTCCATGTTTTCCCAACACACTTCAGCATCTGCATTTTCTGTCTCCTTGACTGGTGCTGTTCCACCACCCCCTCCATGCCCGGCTCCTGGCTCATTGATAAAGGAGAGGCCCCACTCATTTTGGAAGATGGCTCCCAAGTGCTGCCGCCGACTGCTATTGGTTGGTGGGGGACTGCTCGGGGGTGGCGCCAAGACACAGTTGGGGAGGCTATTAGTGGTGCGGACAGCTGAGGCTGGAACATGGCAGGCTTTGCCTGGTTGATCCAAGTTCTCTTTCAGTTTGCTGGCATAAGAGATCTTGGGAATGATTCTGGCACTGCTGCTATCAACTGGGAAAGCAGGAAGGGGCCGAAAGAGTGACCATGTTTCCTTCTCGGATTCCTCAGTGGTTACACTGGAGGCATTAGATGTAACAGTGGGCTTCTCACTGGCTTTGATAGTGCTGACTCGTTCCAATTCGGGAGAAGACAATGGGGAGGGTGAGTCATAATAGCCACGGCGTCGATGCTGCCATCGCCCATTGGAAAGACCCTCTGGAGGACAGTGGTGGCCATTAGTGCTAGGTCCCCATTCCTTGCGATCTGAGGGGTTGCCTCGATAAGTTTTGCGGTAGGCAGGACGGAAAGGCCGGCCATGATGGAAATTAGGATAACGGCGGGTATGCTGGGGAGGGTCTCGTTCAGACAGCTGGAGATTGCGGATGTTAAGGCTGTTGGAAGGACTCAGGGGAACACTGGGTTCATCAACTATCTCAGAACTTGCAGTATATCCATTTGACTCCCATGATCCTGAAGAAGGAAAGCAAATTTGAGATCTCTTGTCACTAACTACAAATACACATTTTCCCCCTTTAAAATATTTCACTGAAAGTCTTTTGGGAAAAAAACCCTTTCTACTTTCCCTCTGTAGCCACCTTTCCTACAGACTGCTGCATTAGCATGAGAAAGTTCAGTAATAGGTGCTAAGTCATTTCAGGCTAGCATCCATATATTTGTATAGGGCATTTTGTTCTAAGACTATGCAACACCTCTTCAGTTTAATGAAGAAACAGGATGCTGAAATTTAACTTCTTATTGCCATTATAGTTTCTTTTCAAGGTGGAATGGGAGAATGCCCAATGGCTAGAGCTCTCATTCATTAAAAAGCCATCCCTGAAGCTACTAAATCTCCCAAGTAATATTACAACTTTCAAGAAAATAATGGTGTTGCCAATTGCAAAATAAAGAGAATTGAAAGAATTTCTGTGCTATGATGTGGGGTTCAACAAATGTTTAAATCTAAAATGGGTTTTACTCAGCACCTTTTTATTTTCCTTGCTATTTAGCTCTCCATGATAAGTTTCTAACCTAGACAACTTTTTTGGATAAATAGAATGCAAATAGACCAATTAGCTAGCTTCACATTCTGGTCAGAAAAGCATGCTAACTCTCAGCCCAAACAAGGACTCAGGATACAATTCTGGAAGATATTTGATAAAACTATCAAACAGGTTTGTGGGGAAGGAACTGGTTTGTTTCCTTCACACATAGCACTGAAGCAAGACAAAAAAAATGGCAGAAACTGAATGATTCGTAATATCAGTTCATTCACTTAATGCTTTTCCTAATCAGTAATGGCAACTGATCAAGTTGCTAAGCACAAGGCATTCATGTCAAAGCTCATGACATAAACTCAAACCTTTCAGTCCCCTTCATGAGACAACAATGTCTTCACACCTTTCAACAGTTTTAATGCTCAAATCAAATTGTTAAGACCTGAGTGCCTAGGCACCCGAATTTTTGCAAGCCTTATAACAGATTCAAACAACTTAGAACATAAAATATTGGCCAGTGGCTAATTTACCTGTTCGTATACGGTTGTTGAGATTATGGCTTTTCTCCTTCTTTCCTCCCAGAAGGCACAGTTCTTCCTCTGGGTTGTGATTCTCATCCATGCCCAGTTCTTCTTTCTGCATGGCCTCAACCTGGGCTTGGAATAGGTCAAGGAGGCGAAAGGTATTGAACACCAGGGACCTGACTGAAGTCCAGCTCCAACCCCTGCCCCCTTTCTCAAGAAAATATAACCTTCCTGATGATGACTCTACACAGTTCTCAAACTAACAAGATTGGAAACTATGCCACTTGTTGGGAACTATGAAAAGCTTCTCAAATGAAACCCCCAAATTTCTTGCCCTGTTCCAAATTTGCAATGCTTCCAGAGAGCAGAGCATTAAATGGGTTATTTAGTATCGGTACCCACCCTCGTTATTCTTCACCGTGCCTTTTGCTTCAATACCCTAAACTTTCTCCCCCCTAGTAAATGACCTTATACAAACTCTTGTACAATGCTTACAAAACACACATACGGAGCGGTTCCCTAGTCTCAACCTCAGCAGCCTCAAAAAACTCAATTCTCCCTTCCTGCGTTACTCAGCACCAAGCCCGCGACCCCCCCCCACCTCTCAGCAACTGCAACAAAAGCTGCGGGGCCGCCTGAAAAACGCCTCTTCCCTCTCAGAGGATTTTCCTCGCGCCCCACGCCCAATGCGACTTCCACCCTTCCTTTGCCCGGAGCTCTGCTGCCCTCTAGAGCGGCTCCCAAAAGCCCAACCCAAGCTTCCTCTCTGCTTTTTTGGAGGGCCGGAGGATTTCCGTTAAGGTCCGCCCGCTCCTTCGGGTGTCTCTTGCCCCAATATGTCCGCGGGAGGCCCAACTAAACTCCCCCCCTCCAAAAAAAAGGCCGACCTCCAGCTCACCTGAAAAAGGCTGCCAGGAACCTCGACTGAAAAAGCTCCCCTCGAAGAGAGCCCCAAAGCGAAGCAGCACCTTAGCTTTGCTCCAAGGCTCCTGCTGCCCCACCCCGACCTTCCGAACCAGGCCCCGCCGCGCTCTAGGCTCCCTGCTCCCGCCTGCCGCTTTATTCAGGCCCAGGCAATTCCCCCCCCAAGCCCGCTCGGCAAAGATAGCCAACCAGCCCTCACCACGTGACCGGCTTCCCCCTTTGGCCTCCTCGGATCATGTGACCTCCAGCGCAGGGTGGCTTCCGGGGTGGGCTCTCCAAGCACGTGGGCCGGCCTCGTCCTGTAACTTTCCTGGTGTCACGTGGCTGCCGGGCTTGCTGGTGAGCTTTCTATCAGTTTGAGGGTTGTGCTCCCGAACCGGATTCACACGAGTTTAGAATTCCTGCCCAGCCTTTTACAAGAGCTTTGTCCATAGTTGCCCACCTCTGTGCAATAGAATGGGCTGGCCCAAAGTCTTCGACCTGCTGGCAGACTCCGATTCTGCCTACCTGGAACGCCTAACCTAAGAGGCTTGCGGGGGGCGGGGAAGGGGGGATTGTGGAACTGAGCTCTTCCAGGTGAGTAGAAAATTTCTTTTAGTGGGGAGGAGGGGAGTGTTGTCTTGCGTGTGCGTGAATGAAATGCAGGAAATTCCTGCTTAGAGGTTTGCCTGTGAGCTGAGAGTGGAGATCCAATCTGCATTTCTGATTAGTCATGAGAAGATCAGCTGGAGCAGATCGCTTCGAAAAGAGTGTGACTGGTGGAATAAAATAAAAGTTTGAGATATTGCGGGGAGGTCTGACCCAAACTCCGAGCCTGAGGGGAGAGTCCAAGAAATTCCTTAGAGAAAGAGGAAGAATTGGTCAGAGAAAATGGAAAGCCTGAGAAATTCCCCCACTGAACCCCTTTTTACCCTTCATGTCTTTTGATTTGTATGTTATTGTTTATTATGGTGTTTAAATCTTGACTCTTGAGATTGAGTTCTTTCATCCTGGGATCTGGGCAGAATGCAAGTAAGTAATAGTTTTATAGTCCAATCTCTGTTTTTCCTGGCCCCTTGCAGCTGCTTGTTCCCTATAATTAATCAAATTGTGTTTTGTTGCAATACCCAGAGTTCTGTTTATGCTTTAGTTTTGCTATCATGTTTTAATTCTTTTTCTTCCTGCCTGTCTGTTTTCTCCATGTTTTCTATGTTTTGATGAGTATCTCCTTTTCTCATGTGTCTAAGGTTATTGGTTTCCTTTTGATGTTTGCTTTTGCTGTTTTTCACAAGTTTTATAGTTTGCCATCTATTTGATTTCTAGGGGAAACGGGTCTTAGCTATTTTGTAGGCCTTTTCTCTCTGTATCCCATTCTTGTTTGGATGTTGCTGTAATTTTATCCTTCCTTTGTTGTGGAGAATAGTTTGGCTTCAGCTTTTTTTTTTTAAAAAAAAGTTTTTATTGTTTTTTGACATACAAACAAACAGACAAAACATAAAAACATCAGCTCCCCCATATTTATATACAAACAGTGAGTCGGTTGGTTCATCAGTTTTGTGCACTCATCTCATAGTCACAATTACAATTACCTTATATAATAACTCTTATTGTCAACACAAACTTATAAATCATAATATCACTATTAAAAAAAGAAGTTTGACTAAACTTTTATTTGATCATGCCTTTGTGAGATAACTATATTTTAAGTAATTTATTCTAAAACAAATCATATAATCGTGCCAATTCTATCCTAAATAAGAGAAAAAAAAGAAAAAGAAAACTATTATATAAATATAATATCCAGTACCAAAAAAGAGAAAAGAAAAATGAAATCAATATTATTCCTTATTGTCTAACATTTCTATTTTTGTATTTCATCATTCAGCCATTGATAGAAAAGATCCCAAATTATATAAAATTGTTTATCTTCTTGCTCTCTGATTTCAAAAGTCAATCTACTCATCTCAGCACATTCCAATATTTTCTTTATAACTTCTTCCTGCAATGGAATTTTCTCATTTTTCCAATTTTTTGCAAATACAATCCTAGCCGCAGTCAATACATTTACAATCAAATATTTCAGCTCTTTACTATAGACATCTGGTAAATTCCCAATAAAAAAAGCTCCAGTTTCAAGTCTATGTGTTTCTTTGTCATTTTTTCCAACCACATGTGGATTTTAGTCCAATATTTTCTAGCATCCTCACAAGTCCACCACATATGGTAGTATGAACCAGGTTTCTGATGACATTTCCAGCATTTTTAGGATTTGTTTTTGAACATTCTTGCTATCCTTGTCGGGGGGAAAATGCCACCTGTAAAACATCTTATACACATTTTCTTTAAAGGCTGTAGACATTGTCATTTTATAATTTTGCAACCATAATTTCTGCCATTTCTCTAAATCAATCCCATATCCAAAATTCCTCCCCCAAGCAATCATAGTTTCTTTAACTTGTTCTTCCTCCAGCTTAATTTCCAATAAGTAACCATATAATTTTTTAATCACCTTTTCATCAGTACCCATCAAAATCTTATCTAAATCAGTTTGTTTATCATAAAATCCCTCTGTTTTGGAATCCTCATAATACTTTGAATGTATTTGCAGATATGAAAACCAATTCATCTGTATACCTTGTTCCTCTAATTTTTGCATCGATTTAAGTTCACCCTTTTCATCTAGTAATTCTCCATAGCTAACTGTTTGTTCCTTTTTATAGATTATAGGGTAAGAAAACGCTTCTATCGTCGATAACCAAACTGGAATTTTCAAATAACATTGTTTTTTTGTCTCCTCCCAATTTAACCACAGAGACTCCCGTATATAATGTCTTCTAAAATACCCCTGTGTTTTGGTTCCCTTATACCATAAAAAAGCATGCCAACCCAACAACCAATCATGACCTTCTAATGTCAACAATCTAGTTTTCCTTAATGTTATCCATTCTTTAACCCACATCAAATTTGCAGCTTGGTAGTACAACTCCCAATTAGGCAGGCCAAACCCTCCTCTAGATCTAGCATCCTGTAAAAGCTTTAACTTTATCCTTGCTTTCTTGCCTTGCCATATATACTTCAAAACAATTTTATTTAAATCCTCAAAATATTCTTTTCCAAGCCTAATTGGTATTGTTTGAAACAAAAATAAAATTCTGGGTAGAATGTTCATCTTAATTGTTGAAATCCTTCCTATTAATGACAATTGTAGGTTTTCCCATTTTTTTCAAATCTTGGGCTATCTGTTGTTTAAGTTTAATATAATTGTTCTCCTTTAATGTACTACATCTTGGCGTCAAATATATCCCCAAATACTTAACCTTATTTGTAACTTGAATTTTTAACAATTCTGCCAGTTCTTCTCTTTGTCTCAGCAACATATTCTTTGACAAAATCTTTGTTTTATCTTTGTTTATTTTCAGACCAGCCACCTCCCCATATGCCTCTATCTTTTCCAACAGCTTCAAAGCTGTTTCTATAGGGTCTTCCAGGATAAAGACTAGGTCATCTGCAAAAGCTTGTAGTTTAAATTCTTCCTTTTTAATTTTCATTCCTTTTATAGTTTTATCTTCTCTGATATTTCTATTCAACACTTCCAAAGTCAATACAAATAACAAGGGAGAAAGAGGACAACCTTGTCTTGTGCCTTTTCTTATATTAATAGGATCTGTAAATTCTCCCTCCATCATTACCTTAGCTGTTTGTTCATTGTAAATTGCTTCTATTGCCTGAATAAATCTTCTAGCAAAGCCCATCTGTTCCATTAAAAGTAACATAAATCTCCAATTTACGTTATCAAATGCCTTTTGGGCATCTAAAAATATCAAAGCCATTTGCTTTTCAGGATGCGCCTCATAATATTCCAAGGTGTCCAGAATTACTCTCATATTGTCTCTAATTTGTCGCTTTGGCAGAAACCCATTTTGATCTGGGTGGATAAAGTTATTCAGATACTTTTTAAGTCTTTCTGCTAATATTGAAGCAAAAATTTTATAATCTGCATTTAATAAGGAAATCGGTCTATAATTCTTGATTTGAAGTAGGTCCGCCTCCTCTTTTGGAATAAGTGTAATATAAGCCTCTGACCATGTTTTAGGTATTATCTTTTTTAACATAACTTCATTCATAACTTCTAACAGTGGAATACACAATGATTCTTGAAAGGTTTTATAAAATTCTACAGGAAACCCATCTGGACCTGGTGCCTTTCCATTATTTTGTTTCTTAAGTGCTTGGCTTAACTCCATCATTGTTATATTGCTTTCTAACATTTCTTCAATCTCTTTAGGTATCTTAGGTAGATTTGCATTCTGCAGATATTGTTTAACTTTCTCCTCATCAATATCTTCTTTCTTATACAAATGTTTGTAAAAATCATGAATAATTTCTTTTTTCTCTTTGCTGCCATGACAAGTTTTACCTTGGTCATCTATTAACTGCAATATTTTCCTCGACTCTTTCTCCTTTCTCAACTTATATGCTAGCCATCTACCTGGCTTATTTGCATCTTCAAAATAATTCTGTTTAGCATTCCTAATTTTCTGTGCCAGTTCTTCTTTCTCTATTAAGTCCATTTTATGTTTAGTTATATCCAGTTTCAATTTGACGTCTTTTTTCTGTGGTATTTTCTGCAGTTCTTTTTCGAGTCTTTTATATTCATCCTCCAAGGCTTTGAAAGCTTGCCTTTTCCTAATATTCTTTTTTCTTGTATAGTCTATTATCAAGCCTCTAGCATAAGCCTTCATTGTATCCCAAACATTCTGTATTGAAGTGTCTTCTTTTCTATTCTCTTAAAAAAAAAAAAGCCAATTCTTTCTCCATCCATTGTATAAATTCTTTCTCCTTTAAAATAGTATTGTTTAATGTCCATCTTGATCTTTTTTTTGTCCCTTCCATTTAATTGTCAATGGGTCATGATCAGCCCAAGTTCTTGTTTCAATATTTACTTCTTGAATACTAGATATTAAGTCTGTTGAGATCCAAATC